ATCCAACCCTTGCCCCAGTCCCAGCCTTAACCCTTTGACCCAGAAACGTGTTAGCTCATGAGGCACTGCAAGGCAGTGCCCAGTTGAGTTGTTTGCTCAGTTGATACCAGTCCAGTGTAATACCTGGCCCAGCCACAAGCCCTGCCCTGGATCCTGGTAATCCTTTGTTCATAGTCTTGCTTGATAATATTCTTTGTAACATTACTTACCAATCAGTTTACCAACCATCACTGTACTGGTGCAAACCAGTCTCCAGTGCTATGTTACACTTAGGTTACTTCTAGTATTTAAGCTATAGGATAATCTGTTTAGCCTCAGTCTGAACTCAACTTAGTCTTGTCATAACTCAGTCCCCTCTGTTCTCAGTTCTCTGTTCTCTGTCTCCTGCCTCTTGACCAGACTACAGCCCACACAAGGGAATAGCACTGTGCTGTCAGTCATTAAGTCCAACAGTCCAACCCCCTTAGTATCTCATATTATCCTCTGACCCCTGACTGGACTCTGGACTGGCTTTGGACTGGTAAAGACCTGGACTTAACATCATGCATAGAAAGACTGCTGGACATGAGCAGTCATCCTTTGCACAAGAACAAGTCATCAGTGCTAAAGAGAAAAGAGGAAGCAAGTTAAGTGCACATTAAAAGTTTTTAGTGCCCATGCACAGCATTCCAGTTTTTGTCATATCTCCACCATTTCCAAAGATATTGACTCTGTTCTCACACTTGCTTAAAGTGATCAGCCATGCAATTCTGCCTTCCAAATTTGGAGAGGATCCTCACACCCTATGTGTTTCTACAGCACTCCATCCATCAGATGCTCATTTTGCTAAGTCCATCAATAATGGCCACCCCTTCATCAATCATCTCACTTGTCTCATTTGCCAGAGACAGTGGCTACATATATCTGCCAGGTGTTTCCACCAGCTTCTGTCCTGAAGCCCCCTGATTCATTCCATCATTGTCAGCCCCATCCTGTCCCATGCAGCTTGGTTGGCATGTTCTCCTTGTCAGTATGACTTCCAGAAGGATGTTCTTTGGTTGTCTCAGGTCTGTCACTCAGTTAGAAAGGTCTTATGTAGTTGTTTCAGTCTCCCCTCTTGATGAAGCATATGGATCATTCCTCCCTGCTCCCTGCACCATCTTTATTCCAATCTCATCCATCATTCTCCCCACATTGTGACAGCTGCAGCATAATCTACTGTCCTCCAGCCTCCCTGATTGCATCCATGATGAGTATGATGTGCATCTTGCCTTCTTACTGCAGGATCCAGCAGAAGACATTCCCCCTTCTCCTTCTCCTCCATCAGAGCCCCATTCATGAAGTTTTTGTTAACTTTGCTGAGAGGATGAAAGGGTGGGAGACATGATCACATATGCTCCTGTTGCCCCATAGACCCCTGATGCCCTAGCCCCTTTGACACCTGACTCATGCCCTTCAATTCTGGAATTAATACTTCCCTATCTGGAAACACCATCCATCTGTCATGCCATCTTTGGATCTAGAGATGTCTCCACTGAGATCTGACTTGCATCACTACCCCCTAATGTGATATTAGTGTGCTTACTCAGTTTCTGACTCTATTTGACTCATTCTGTGATATTTTGACTGTCCTTGACTTGTTCATTGCCAATACTTACCAATCCTCTTTGCTTGCTTACTTTTCATTTCTTACTTACTCATCATGATTACTCAGTCCTTACTCATTACTTACCAAGTGTTTGTGTCTTGTTTGTCATAAGCTGTGCTTCCCCAACAGTATATAAACCCCCATGTACTTAGCTACAACCCCAAGTAATCCAGAAGTCACTCAGCAGTCAGTTCAGCTCTCTCTCAGGCATAACTCATTGTTGACAGTTGAGGCTCATTCAGAAGAGTCTATCTGTCATCATTCATATACTCAGTAGTTGAGGCTCATTTGGAAGGGTCTAATCTACCACCATTCTCTATCTGAAGTATCATCTGTGCTTGGTCAGCACACACACTTAGTCATCCATCCACTCCTGTGTAACTTGTCATCAACTTGTGCCAGGAGCATGTTTTATCAAAGTCCATTATTCCAGAATACTTTTGGCTGAACACCTTCACTCTGTTCAGCATTCCCTGTCCAGTCATCACTCTCTTGTCTTCTCCTGCATAACTTGTCATCAACTTGTGCCAGGAGCACTCCACTTGAAGTCCCCCCCCCCCCACTTTAGATTTTTCTGCACTCCAGGTTCTGTGGAGGCAAACCACCACTTTCTCACATTTGTCCTTGGTGTTGGATTTGTTTGGTTTTCACCAGCTTTTCACACTTTGACTCACAATGCATCTGCTCTTTCTGACCCTAATTCTCTTCTTCTGATCATTTCTCTTCCTGATTTCTCCATAGATACTTTCCCTGCTCTGGTCAACTCAGGCTCTTCACACTGCTTTACAGTCTTTACTGGACTGCCTCTACATGCATGTTGTCTCTTGATCCTGTGACATCATGTGTTCACTGTGTCCAGTATTGCCCCCATTGCCATTAGCTTGAAGATGACACTCTTCAATGATGAATTAGGCTTTATGTTACCCTTGAGTAGCAATGACCCTCAACTGCCCATGATCATATGCCTCCTGATCTCCCAAGCACTGATTGTGCCTCATTCTCAGTTATATCAAATTTGAACACAGATTTGCTACCATCCCCCTTCCTGGCATTGGTGTGCCATTCCACTCCCATTACTTGTGGGCTGGTGTGGTGCATTTATTACTTGCATTCATGCATCCTGCAGGTTGTTTTAAGTGCTGTTATATTTTGTTGCTGGAAGATGTTCAAATCAACACACTGCAATTCCCTGGCCATCATGCCCACATGGTTGGATACCAGTTTGATGAAGGTGAACAAGGACTATACCATACCCTTGATGGGCTCCTCAGGTCCAAGGTCAAGGAATGGGTAAAGCAGGACATAGTGAAGACTCACTTTGCTTGTGTGTTGTAGTGGTGTTGTCAATGAAAATGTCAATGTCTCTGCATCATCATCTTCTGATTCATTGGGTGGGCTAAGTCAGCATATCAGAGAATTGATCTCTTGACCAGACTTCATCTGGAAGCCAATGATGACAACACTGGACATAAGGATGTACCTTCTGTTGTACAACTATGACCAAACCCAACAGTAAGGCATTCCAGTACACAAAGGCAGTGAAATTTTCTAGTCATAAATCTGTGTCTGGAATATGCAATGTTCCAGCCCTGTCAGCAAAGATGAGACAGCTGGTCAACCTTCTCAAGATCAATGCTGATTTGGCAGGCTGAGGAAAAATGATCATATTCTTGTACTTCACATCCTTGCTGGATTTGGTACAAAAGTTCCTCAGTGCCAAAAGGCTTCATACTTACTTGCTGACATATTATTTAGATGATGGATCTATGAGTCCATCTGAATGTGAGCAGAACTTGGAGTACATTAGGAATGACATGGACATGAAATGTATGCTTGTATCTATCAAGGCAGGTGGTATAGGGAAGATGAAGTCTTCACCTATGGTAATTCAGTTTCTGGGGTCTGGAGGGAAGGGAAAGGAGATCAGTGTTCTAGGAGGGCTAAAAGGGAGGGGGCACATTCTTTTTTGGTGTTTTGTGCTTTCTTTTTATATGTCCTTGAGAGCTTAGTGACAAGTGGCCGCATTGCTGACTAAGCATGTGCACTGTGTTCGCACGAGTCCGAGCTACTGTACAACACATGTACAAGGGAGGAGAAGTATAGAATATAGACTTGCACAAGGCAAGGAATTGAAGGTCAAACAGGAACAGGAGTGCACAAAGAGCCAAGTATTAGCATTGTTTTGTCTTCCCTTATTTCACCCAAATTCTTCAGGACAAAGCCCCTTTGGGTCAAGACTACACTTGGCCTATCTAACTAATTTTTCCAGGTTACTAAAAATCAATTCTCTTCAGCAGTATTGGTCAGTCATAATGAGGAACTGTGTTACTGAGTCATCTGCTTAGAGTTGCTCTGGGGTTAGACTTGATTGTGTGTAATAATGTCATCCTGCTAGAACCATGGTGGAATCCAGCAGTTGAAGTATGTGGTCACCCCATTTTCACCTTGAATGGTTTGGACACTCAACCATGTGAATAGGAACAGGCTTTTGATTATGTGCATTGAATTGGCCAACTTCTGCTGGTGAACATTTACAAGCTGATGGTAGAGGACAGTGTGGTGGAATGAATGTTAGAGGTTGTTGAGGCCAATGGCATGGCATCAGCAGATGTTACATGACTGATGCATGCACAAGCTCCAGGATAAGAAGAAACATTAGCAGATGCCACTCTCAGTGGCAATACAATGCTGGACATGACCCCAGATATCAAAGATGTTGAATGTCTCTTTCAAGTGGCAATCTAGAGAAGATAAGGATGGATTTGCATAGTTACTCACTGCAGGCCATTTTGACCAGTACTGGATATGATGTGGTCATATGACTAAACCATAGGTAATGTAATTCAAAAGACGCATTTGCCAACTTTGTGAGACAAGGCAGAGCCAGTGCTTGATCAGAAATCCATATTGTCTGATCCCCAAAGCTGTTAATCTCTTCTGCATGGTTTTCTAAATCTGAGTTCAAGGTGAGATGATTAGTTGTTCAGGTCAGTTGTGGGTATGTGGGTATAACACTGCCAATTTGTAACATTACACAAACAAAATACCAAATGCCCACTGGGCACTCCTGGATGCTACACATCAGGTCCAGCAGTATACATGGATATAGCTTTACATAGCTTTACAATGCTATATAAAGCCATTAACTATGGTGAGCCCAAGCATGGTCAATGGAAAATCAAGGAATATTGGGGTATAAGGCCAGCAGGGATGCAAGTTCAATGACTCCAGACCTGAGGAAGGACTGGCCAGGCATGCAGGTACAATGTGGCAGCTCATTGAAGTCTAACCACAAACATCTGCTATCATTAATGGACTAACTGCTGATGTTGCATTGCATATACCAGTGTTTGGTTTCCTAAGCCCTATAGCATCAATCATTGCAGTGCAGGCCATGGGCCTGTCTGATGGGATCATCCCCCTACATGATGACCATGCCAGCATGCAAACCTTCTGATTGGCTGAGACACTCTTTGTCAGCTCCAACTCTGAGCTTGTGCTCTTCATGAGCTTGGCACAGGGCCTCTCTTGTGTCTGATTGCTGTCCAGGATCTGGGTGGTGTTGAAAGGGTTCACAGGAAGGCTCTGAAAACAGGTTCATGATCCTCAACACTTGGTAAGAAGATCTTATTGTCCATGTTAGTCTCTTCCCCTTGTGATTGGAGACTGTCTGCATCACTATCAGATACATGCGACCTGACCTGCTTAGCACCTTCTAAAAATCTGATGCTATAATGACTGTATCCTTAGTTTTGTGCTTCCCCCCTGAGAAAAACAGTCATTTGGGAGGGCATACCTCTAGTGGTTCATAGTCAGGATGATCAATGGGTAGCCTCAATGCCACTACTGCATCTGGTGAAACACTATACAATGGGTTTGCCATCATTGCCTTTTGCCCACATTGTAATGGATGTGGATGATTAATGGATGATTGATCAGAGTTGGCCAGCAACAAGACTTACAATACATATGTGATAGTCAGCCTCTCCCTGCAAGACAATTCAGGTGTAGGTTCCCCCTCTTCACAGACAGGAGAACTGGTTCACATGCCTCATCATCCAAACAATCCCATTCACTTGGGCCCTTCTTGTGCAGCACTTTGGTGCTGCTGAGGGAAGGATTGTCAGGTGAGTCATGGGTAGGCAACTTCCTGGGCCATGTTTTCTTCACTTTCCGGGTGGGGTTTTTAGTGAGGGCCAGTGGGGCTTGTACAAGGAGTTTGCAAGGGGGTGTCAGCAGAGCTGCTGTGGGTGATTCAATGAAAGTTACACAATTCAGATGGTCCCAAGGTAGATGGCAGGATGGAGGTGAGGACATGGGCCCTTTGAAGATGTAGCATAGTAGCACAGGACAGGGAGGAGACTCAAGCAGCTCACCCTGTTCTGACTCCTTTTTTCCCTTTTTGCTACCCTGATGCTTAATACATCCCATCTGAAATGCTATCTCCTCTTCCTCATAATTGCCATGACTAGAAAGCACAAATGTTGTGCACTTTATGGGGATGATGAGTAGCTGACTGGCTTCACCACTGTTTTTGCTCTTGACATGGGTGATGCATATGGTGTAAGCACTGTTATCACTTGATGCCATGTCATTGTTACTATCACTCTCATCAGTGACATGTCTTGAGGTGGGTGAGCATGTCTGCCCAGTGAATGTTTGTGGAAAGCATGTGGTGGGATTGGAAGCAATGCAACAGACACAGAGCATGTTAGGGAGTGTCAAGTTGGGAAATCTGAGATTGGAGGAAGCTGAACTGGTGATGAGTCTAGGACAGGCTTTTCTTGCATTGATGTTGTGTGATTACAGCTGTGCTCAGATGAGTTTGCCATGAGAGAAATCTGAGGTTGAGGACAGGAATGGAATGGAGAAGACCAGAAATCTTTGCAATGGTGCCCTGCAGTCAAGTCTGGGGTGTCCAAATCTAAAGGACTTAAGACATTACCTGCTCTGGTTCATGAGATATTTCAATTCTGAGGTCCATGAGGGGTAATCTTTGAGCAAAGGAACACAACAGTAGGAGTTGGAATTTATTATGATGGTGCCCTGCAGTCAATTCCAGGGAGCCCAAATCTGAAGAAATGAAAACCCTAGCTTCTTTCATGAGATATTTCGATTCTAATGTCAGTACTGTCAGGCAAGGATGCAGCAGCAATTTTTACATTTTTCTCTCATGGCAAACTCATCTAAGCACAGCAGTATCTAGCACATCCTCATTCCATGTGCTAACCCCAGAGGACTGGGGTAGGTGTAGGTGTACATGCTTATTACACCCATTCCTTGCAAGCAATGGAACACTGAACAGCCATTCAGTGTCTTGCAAAGATGTCAGACTTTGTGCAGGTAGTCAACAGATTCAAATATAGGGGGCTGGTGCATGTAAATGATCTTGTCATCAGTGAGTGTGATGTTTAGATATGTTCCTTTGATGTTGATCTGATGGAGTTCTATATCAGAGTGAGCAGCCACTGCAAGTATGATGCAGATGGATGTGAACATTGCCACTGACTTTGTTGGGTACCAATACAGTGGCTACTTTGTACACTGAGATACTCATAACTTCATTAGGGGAGGCTATGCATGTCACATCTCAAAGAGATCACTTTTGGATCAAAGTGGGATAACAGAGAGGCAGCACTGATCTGATGCCAATATAGTACATCCAAAAGCAGACAGGGTGAGTCAGATGTCAACAGGGGTCAAGCTTTGGGGGTCTGTGGGGTGACAGGAGCATAGGGGATCACAACTTTCCCCCCATAACTGTCCTCTCAGTGAAGCAAATAAAAACTTCATGAATGAGGCTCTATTGGAAGAGAGGATGAAGGGGGAGCATCTTCTGCTGTATCTTGCAATAAGGAGGCAAGATGTGCATCATATACTCATCATGGATGAAATTAGGGAGAGTAGAGAACAGTAGATTATACTGTAGCTGTCGCAATTCTGGAAGAATGATGGATGAGACTGGTATGAAGACATTGCAGGGAGCAGGGAGGAAGGATCCATATGCTTCTTGGAATGGAGAGACTCAAACAACCACATAAGACCTTTCCAAGTGAATGACAGACTTGAGGCAACCAAAGAATGTCCTCCTAGAGGTCATACTGACAAAAAGAACATGCTGTCCAAGCTGGATGGGCTGAGAGGGGGCAGACAAGGATGGGATGTACCAGGACACTTCAGGACAGAAGCTGGTAGGAACTCCTGGTAGATATATGTAGCCATGGTCCCTAGCAAAGGGGACAAGCAAAATGATTGACATGGAGCCAGCCATATCAGAAGAATTAGTGAAATGAGCATCTTTTGGAGGGAGTGCTGTAGAAATGTGTGGAGTCCAGTGCTTGGACTGTTCCTTTTTTGGATGTCCTATGTTACCCATTCATATGTCCTCCATCCACCCTTCATTCATTGTCTAGGAAGTTTTACTTGAAAATTTATGAGTCTCCATATGTCAGTTCCAATTCTGGTTACTGTACCTCCATAGTAGTATAAAAGCATGTATTGTACTCCAATGTTCTTCAGTACAAATATTGACTTAGTTCCTACTCCCTCTGTCTCCATCTTCTGCCTGTTGGAGTTACCTCTGACTTTCTGTCTGTGCTCTCCCTCTGAAATACAAGGGCTGAGATCATGCAAGGGGGTAGTGCAAGAGCTAAACCTGATGCCCTCATTCTGCTCTGCCTCTGTCTCAGTGGACTTCATTCCTGCCAACACTCCACCAGTCAGAATCCTGCTCTCCTGTGTCAGACTTGCTTCCAAACCTCTCCCCAGACCTCATCTAGCATTGGAGTTGGTCAGAGTAGGCCTGGACTTGACAGTATATTTGTACTCACACTTGCATGATCTCATTTTCTGTCTTCCAAAAAACTTACACCATTATGAGAACTCAAGCTCAATCCCAGAGAGAGGTCACTGAGAACCTTGCTGCAGTGCTAGCTAATTCATGTTGACTCCCTTCTGTCATTGAACAATTCCAATCCTTCTCCACTCAACACTGCTCTCATGCTGAAGGTGAAAGTGCTTTGCAAGCTGGTCACTCCAACCTCCACCCAACAACCTTCTATACTCCATCTCCTCATAACTGAGATGATAGAGCTGACCCTGACCCTGATTATCCTGATGGTGATCCCAATGGCAGGGGCAGCAGTGATGGGGATATCCCCAAAGACCTGGCTGAGCCACCAGAGGATCCCTTCATAGCTCTTGCTAGAACTGTCCATGCACTTGCATGGTCTAGTTTGTGCACTGGGGACTCTGCTCTGAAAACCAAAGTCTGTGAGCCTGACACCTTCAATGGGTCTGACCCTAAGAAACTCCACAAGTTCCTCATACAATGCAAGCTGAACTTTCAAGACTGCCCCCACACATTCCACTCCAACAGGGCAAAGGCTACCTTCGCTCAGTCTTATCTTAAGGGTATGGCTCTGGCTTGGTTCAAGCCAGACCTACTAAACCCCAACAATTATGACTGCCTGCTCTGGATTCTGGATGGATGACTATCATGAGTTCTTACACAAGCTCACAACCAATTTTGGTCTGCATGATGCCATCCAACAACTCAAGAACCTTACTATGAAGGATGGCTCTTGAATTACCAAATATCTCACGGAGTTCAATCACTGGGCTTTGCAGGTCAAAGACTATGGTGTCAGTGCACTCTGCCACTGCTTGTATAATGGACTTCCAGACTGCATCAAGGATGAGATCACTTACATTGGAAAGCCTTCTACCCTTGCACAACTCCACAAACTCGCCCAGACCATCAATGCATGCTACAGAGAATGTAAAGCAGAAATTTTGCACACCACCAATCTGCCACTGACAAGTTGCAGTCTTCCAACTCTGACAACAAGTCTAAATCATTGTCCTCCACCTCTGCTCCAAAGTCTGATGCCAAAGGCAAGGGCAAACAGAAAGATCTGCCCAAGTCTGATATTGCCCACCTCCTGGGCAAGGATGGCAAACTCACCTCTGTTGAATGCCAGCACAGGATGAAGAACAACCTCTGCCTCTTCTGTGGCAAGGCTGGCCACTCCAATAAGGACTGCCCCAAGTCTACCTCTCACACAGCCAAAGGTCATGCAGCTACAGCTGGAACTCTGCCTCCTCTGCCCATGGAGAAGGCAGAGCCAAAAAATTAGTCTGCTCCTCCAGGGAGCTCACACAGCCTGGAGGAAGCATTCACCACAACTGTGTGCAACCAGACATCTGACCCAATGTGTCTGCTCTTTCTAGTCCCAATGCTTTACTTTGGTCTGTAACTCTCCTTGATTATTTTGTTGATACTAGTGGCATTCAAAATAAATCTGAGTCAAACAAATTTGGCCCAGGAATCAGTGTGAGCATGGCAAGCGGGTCCAGTGCATGTGGTTTAATTCAAGCTCCGCTTGAAAATGCCTCCCCATCGTCCATGCACAAGACGCTCTGCAGGCCTGCAAGCAAGACGGACGACTATGATGGCATCAACTCCCCCTCAGATTCCAGCCAGAAACGCAGATTCTAATCCTCCTTTCCCTTCTCAAGTTATATCCCCGCCCCAAAATACGATCTCTATGTCCCAGAGAGGGAAGCCAAAGACCAGGGGATCCAAGTCCCAGGCTACTGGCTCTCGCAAGCAAATGACAACTACCCTGGGAGGTCCTCTGCAGGAATCGAGGGAAACCATTTTCTGGGAACAATATCCCCACCTCACTAGCACACTCCTGAGCTGGCTCTTACAACATCCTGCTGATTGTGCCATCCTATTCAGCAGTGCTAAGTAGTGAAGTGTGCAAGAAGGCTCTGCTTCCCTCAGAAAGCCCCATGGGTGAATGAAGAAAGAAATTCATGCTGTCATTGCAAAGGTGCTTTTTGTGAATGATCCAGAATATTGCAGTGGGTATGAGATGCAGCCAGAGAAGTTCAATACGAGTGTCTATGCATGCCTTGCAACGTATGTCTTTATCTAATGATGGGAGATGGCATAACTCAATGGTCAATGCAGGTTAAAGAAGAGATATCGAGAGCAACTTGATCGTTTCAAGTCCACTGGTGGCAGGATCATTCCTGGTGATGTGAGGTATCCAAACCTGCTGGGTGAGTCTGTTAGATCATGTTCCCATTCGGTCCCACTGATGATCTGGTTTCAGTTGATGCCATTGTGCATTTCCCTTGGTTCGAGGAATGTGATCAAATGTGGAGGGGAATTCCATCAATCAACACCCAACCACAAAACTCTACTCCTGGCCTCAATTGTGCTGGCAATTTTCTTGCAATTATTCAACCTGATTCCCCCTCTGTTCCCCCCCCCCCTCCCTCCGGTACTTCCCAGTCTGTGCCAGATTTGTTTGGAGAGTGTGATGACGATGAGACCATGGTCCAGCAGATGGAACATCCAGGTTTTCCTGGTGTCGTCACTGATGATGACTGCATGTGTATGGAAGAGGAGGAAGAGGAGGCCAGTGGCGATGAAACAAGAGGGCATGATATCGATGAAGAAGAATGTGACAATGACTGGATGCATGATTCTTCCCTCCTGACAGCAGGCCCAAGCCAATCAAATACTTTTTTGCCAGTGGTCCCATCTTTTGCTAAGGCAAGTTACTGATATCTCC